AAAATATCTCTTTCAACTTAGTTCTGAACAGGTCTATTCTGGTATTAATCCCATAGGGTACAAAGTTTTCCCCAAAGAAAAATGTGAACAGAGTTAGTTTATCTAATAATTTGGTGTGGTAAATTACAGAACCCGATGTTTTCTCAGGAATTTAAAGCAGACTTCTCCATTCAGGTACCTATTATTTGGGGGGGGGGGGCGCAAAAATCCTCAGCTTGCACTTTAAGAGCAAATTTCTCACTGATAACACTGTAAAAAGGATTAAGTTAAACTGGTTGCTAAATAACCATTTGAAATTGCAAGTTTGTAAAGCACTTCTGGCGGTCATAAAATATCATGCCAACAGTCACATGACTGCATTTATGGCACTCAACATACTGCTGTAATTGGGCCTGGATTTCCAGTCATGTCATTAGGATGGTTGAGGTCCCCAAGTGACGGGACACGATTTTACAATCTTTTTGTGAAAATCATTAGGCGGATCTGCAGCTGTTATGCAAACCTCATGGTCATAAGTGTGAAACCAATCTTCTGAAGGGACATTTTGGAGGCCTCATGGTCATGTCACTGGAACAGTGCAACCAGTGGTAAAGGCAAACTGATTGCCAAGCACCTGAAATACAGTCACATGATCCTACATGTGTTGGCACACCACTTCTATTGACAGCCAGAAGTGCTTTACAAACTTGTAATTTCAAGTGGTCATTCAGCAACCGGTTGTAAGTGGAGTACCACCTGTATATCCAAGACCTAAGAAATAACCTTCTGATGCCATTCTATTTTGGGGTCAACTCGTGCACTTTATCATATCTTCCTAACATATTTAATCGTTCGGGGAAACTTTGAAAATTCCTTCCAATTACCAAGTATTACCCTAGAGCCGTGATGGTGAACCTGTGGCACACGTGCCCGAGGTGACACGCAGAGCCCTCTCTGTAGGCACATGCACCGTCGCCAGCTGATCTTCGTGTTTCTGGTGCTCTGGCACGTGCAAAGACCAGGTGGCCGGTGTGCATGCTGGTCTTCAGGTTTCCAGGGCCCCGGCACGCACACACTTGCACATACGCATGTTCCAGTTTTGCCACTTGGTGTTGAAAAGGTTCGCCATCACAGCCCTAGAGCATTAGGTTAACCGTCCTTTCCAGGACAACCATTGGACTTGGAGCATTATGTGAGTTAAGATTTCCTTGAAAATCTGAAAATAGAACTTCACAAAGCATCTCTCCTTCAAACAGCCCTGCTTTTCAGAATGCTCAACACAACTGACCCACAGTGGCTGTTCCTAGATGTGGTGTAAGCACAACAGTGTTACTGACTGTTCCAGAAGTACCATGAACCTCGCAGATACACAGGAGAAATAGTTTCTCCCCTCTTCCAGAAGGCAGTGCTGCTGCGTCTCCTGGAAGACACTTCTTACTTCTGCCTCCCCATTTCGCTGTGTGTCCCCTTTCAACGCTTTCCAAAAAAAGGTGGACGAAAAGCATCAGAAATAGAGTGAGACAGATCAGGAGGAGCAAGCGTTAGAGCTAGTCCTTGACTTACAACCATTTGTTTAGTGACGGTTCAGTAATAACAGCACTGAAAAAAGTGACTTATGGCCAGTCTTCACGTCACCGTTGCAGTATTCCTATGGTCACGTGATCAGAATTTGGATGCTTGGCAACTGGCAGGAATTTATGAGGGTTGCAGTGTCCCAGGGTCCATGTGATCACCTTTTGTGACAGTGACCAGCAAACTCAATGGGGAAGCCAGATTCACTTAGCAACTGTGTTACTAACTTAACAACTACAGTTATTCACTTATCAAATGGGGCAAAACTCACTTAACAACTGTGTTGCTTAGCAAAGGAAATGTTGGGCTCAATTGTAGTGATAAGTCAAGGACTACCTGTACACTTAGAAACCAAAAGTGCTAGTGCAGAAGAGTAAGTAATGAGCAAAAGCACAAATTCTGCTCAAATTAGATCTTTTATAAAGCGGTCATGATTTTGAACCACTGTATGACTTTGAAAATCAGAGACAAAATAGGGTAAGAGCAAAATGCCCAGAAGAAAACCTAATGGTCTGGAATACTCACTTAGTGTGGCTGTGGGGGGTGCCAGGAGCCTTGCCAAAATGCCGATAAACTTGGCGGGCCTTTCTGGGTCCTGCAGAAGGCAAGTTCAGAAAGATCTTTCAGTCAAGCTGAGATATCAGCAGCACTAAGACCAATAAAAACTTCACAACTCAGGAAAGTGTAATGTCCTCTTCTGACTCACCAGAAAGTAAAACAGTTCCCT